GTTACAATCCTCATTTCTGTAGCAGATCATGGGGGCATAGCTGATATTTAGAACTACCTTGTACTACTCATTCTGTATTTCCTTGGCCTTCAGTAAGTACATCAGCAAGTATTGGTTCTTTCCCTGAGATGGTGACCCATACTTTCATTCCTGAAGGATCTGGGCCATATGACATTGTGTTTGGATTGGATTGTTATAGTTTCCCTTTGACTTTTATAATATGGCAGGTTAATACCAGTAGGTCCCCTAAGGAATCACCTGCATGAGAAGTATATTCTTTCTTTTCTCCATTGTGGAGTAATATTCCAATATTCCCTTAACAGTCTGTGTCAGTCACCCCTCTCATCACCCTTTTAAACTAGTAACACCCTTTTTAGCTAGTTTCCTCAGAGTCATAAGGAGGCCAAAATCACCAGGGGGAAGTCTTTGGTTCCAGTTCAATGGTGTCATTGTTGCGCTTCCTGTTACAGGTCTTCACCCTCTGGAATTAAGACTTCTTTCTAAGCCAGCAAAGCATAAAGTCATGATAACAGGGTACAAAAATTTTGCTAGTAGATCACTATAGCTAACAGTGACTGGTATCACTCTTACCTCCACCCCTTTATTGCTGCACCCATGAATCCTGGCTAGGGAGACACAGTACTACATAGTAGATGCTAACTCAAAGCATATACAGCCTTTAGAAGAACCTTGCCTCAGCCCTGCAAGCTATTGTCACCTAACTGGTGCTGTAACTATGTCTTCAAAAGACCATTCCACTTTTCTGTCAATCTACATGCTTCCAGATAGTGAGGAACGTGGTAAGACCAGTGAATTCCATGACCAGGAGCCCATTGCCTCATTTCTTTGGACATCGTATGTGTTCCTTGGAGTCAGAGCCAATGCTGTGTGGAATTCCACGATATTGGATAAGGCATTATATGATTCCATGGATGGGAGTTTGGTAGAAGCATTACATGCAGGAAAGGCAAATCCATTTACAGAATAGGTATTTTTGCCTGTAAGGATAATGCACACTCCTTTCCATGATGAAAGTGGTCCAATATAATCAACCTGCCACCAGGTCAAAGGCTGATCACCCCAGGGAATGGTGCCATATTGGGAAATCAGTGCTGGTATCTGCTACTGGCATATTGGGCATTCAGCAGTGGCTATAGCTAGATAAGCCTTGGTGTGTGGGAGTCCATGTTTATGAGTTTGCATAAAAGCCATCCCTGCCAACATGGCCACTCTGTTCATGAGCCTATTGAGCAATGACAGGGGTGGCTGAAGAGAGAAGTTGACGACTGTCTACAGAATGGGTCATCTTATCTACTTGATTGTTAAAGTCTTCTTCTGCTGAGGTCACTTTTTGGTGAGCATTTACAGGGGATACAAATATATTTACAGGGCCAGGGATTTAGGTCAGTGGTGTTGCGCCTGCCTTGCAAGTGCAAGGTCCTGAGTTCAATCCCCAGTACCAAAGCAAACAAACAAAACAAACAAAAGAAAATTTCAAATAGTTTTACATCTTTTGCATATAGATAGGTCTATCCACGTACCTCCTCCCCAAACAACTTTATCACCAATTTTCCAGTTATGTTCCTCCAAGTTCCTGAACACCCAACCAGGCCATTGGCTACAGCCCATGAATCAGTATACGGTTGTATATCTGGTCATTTTTCCTCCCAGGGAAAATGTACTACCACGTGCACTGCCCAAAGTTCTGCCCACTGTTAAGATTTTCCTTCACCACTGGGGATGTCCTAGAAAGGGGTTGTAATACCGCACCTGTCCACTTGCTGGTGGTGCTTGCATAACATGCAGAACCATCCCTAAACAGTGGCTAACCTTTTTTTTCCCCTCTAACACCTGATCATATGCTAGACCCCATGAGGCTATAGGTGCATGTTGGGAAACAGAAGGTGATATGTCAGTAGTAGGAGCCATGGGCATCTGAGGAACTTCCTCCTGTAACTTACTTGTATCCTCTGGACCTGCTCTGTCTCAATCATGTATATACAATTTCCATTTAGTGATAGGCTGTTGCTGTGCATGTCCAACTATTGACTCAGTCGATCAGATAATATCAAGCTCATGACAGGCAGCTCAGGTTGGATGGTTACCTTCTGGCCCATGGTCAAGCATTCAGTTCCACTAAGGCTCAGTAGTAGGCCAAGGTCTATTTTTCAAAAGGAGAGTAGTTGTCTGCGGATGATGGCAGAGTCTTGCTCCAAAATCCTGATGATCTCTGTAGCAATTTACCTAGAAGGACCTGCCAGAGACTACAAACAACTTCCTTACCTGCCACCAACACTTGAAATACCACTGGATCTGCTGGATCATATGACCCCATTATCAGAGAAGCTTGCATGGAAGCCTGGACCTGTTAGAGCCTTTTCTTGTTCAGGGTCACACTCAAAACTAGCAACTTTTTGGGCTGCGGATTTAGCTCAGTGATTCCGCTGCCTGTCTCGCAAGCACAAGGTCCTGAGTTCGATCCCCAGTACCAACAAAACAAAACAAAACCAAAAAACCTAGCAGCTTTCTGAGTCACTGAGTACACGGGCTGGAGTTAAATACCTAAGTAAGGAATGTGTTGCCTCCAATATTCAAATAGGCCCATGAGGCATTGTCCCTCTTTTTTTTGTTGTAGGAGAAGCCTGATCAACAACTTATCTTTTATCTTAGAAGCAAAATTGCTACATGGCCTACACTACTTGACTCCTAGAAATTTCATTGAGGAAGAAGGACCTGTAATTTTAGTGGAAGTTATTTCCCGTCCTCTGCTTCTCAAATTTTTTTTTTTGTGGTATTGGGGTTCAAACTCAGGACTTTGTGCTTGCAAGACAGCTGTGGTGCCACTAAACTAAATCCTCAGCCCTTCAAATTCTTTACTAACAAGACCAGAGTGGTTGGTACCTCCTGCTGACTTGGTCTTGTCAGCCTAACATTATCAATGTAATGGACCAGTGTTAGGCCTTGTGGAAGAGAAAGGTGATCAAGATCCCTGCAAACTAAGTTGTGACACAGGGCTGGAGAGCTAATATAACTTTGAGGTAGGACAATGAAAGTGTATTGCTGGCCTTGCTCGCTGAAAATAAATTGTTTCTGATGAGTCTTATGGATAGGTATAGAGAAGGAAGGCATTTGCCAAGTCAATAGCTGCATGCCAAGTAACAGGAGATGTGTTAATCTTCTCAAGCAAGGATATCATATCTAGTAAAGCAGCTTCAATTGGAGTAACAACTTGATTCACTTTGTGGTCATGTACCACCATTCTCCAGGTCCATCCATCTTCTGCACAAGCCAAATCAAAGAATTAAATGGAGATGCATTGGGAACAACTAACCCTGTATCCTTCAAGTCCTTGATAACGGCAACAGTCTCTGTAATCTCTCCAAGAGTGATACTGTTTTTATTTAATAATTTGCCCAACAAAGGCAACTCTAATGGCTTCCATTTGGCTTTTTCATTTATAATAGCCCTCGTGCTACAGATTTCTGAGCCAAAGTAAGTGTTCTACCAAGTACTAATTATATCTATCCCAACTGCCCATTCTGGAACCATGGATATAACTATAGGATGAATTTGAGGACTTAGTGGACCAACAAAGAGCGAGTTGGACCTCTGCTAAAACTCCATTGATCACATGAAATTCATAGGCCCCTCCTCCTACTGTAGGGCCACAATGATGTAGCAGATTAGGATTGACTTGAAAAGTTCATTCCACCACTCACATTTCCCTAAGCCTCTGGATTCCCTCATAAGTAGTAAACCATGAGAGACTTCTGGGAAGTATGGGAAAGTGGTGAACAGCAGAGAAACAGCCTCTCAAGATTTGATGTCCAGACTCTGGAATATAGCAAGGTGAGGAAGAAAATAAGGAGGGACATGAGTCCCTGGGACCCAGGAAGGATCTGAATTGAGAATTGAAGCACTTGGGGAGAGCAAAGAGAGACTTCAGTGAAGAAGGAGGTGGCAAGCGGCACTTTCCCCCTGAGCCCTGACTCACTGTGTAGAAGGAGCAGCTCGAACCTGCAGATGCACCCTGACTACTGGTGACCCAAGGCCTGCATGGAGAAACATGCCAATGGAATGAAGCAGTGAACACTATGGACTGCAGTGGCTGGTGAGTTATTTGGGTGAGTGTCACATGACTCCGGGTAATATTTTCCTTCTAGCAATATTACTTTGCAGAAAGACAGAGTTGCAACTTTTGAGGAGGGAACTGCAGGGCACAGGGAGCTTACAGTCTGAAGTCCTTAGGTTTCCCTGACTCAACACCAGAGAGTGTGTTTATTCAGCAATCATATCCCTTTCTTTGGCATATATATGTGTGTGTGTGTGTGTGTGTGTGTGTGTATGTATATATATTAATTTATTTGCTTAGAATGAGTAAATCAAGAGATACCGCATGAGAAATCTTGTCTATGAAGCCATAAACCTTATTTCTAATCTCACTCCTCTCACAACAGCGTTGTGTCCTGGTCTTCCCTGGACTAGAGACGCTCTCTCAGTGATTTCTCCATGGTGAATTAACTCTGGAACTGGCTTAACAGACTGGTGACTCCATTCGGAAGAGCAACACGCAGGAAGATCCCACTGAGTCCAGTAAGAAGACTGGAGCAACCTGGCATGGTGCTGCATCACCATAAAATCAGCACTGGAGAGACTGGAGCGGGAGGATCACAGCAAGCTCAAAACCAGCCTGAGCTACACAGTGAGTTCAAGAACAGACTAAATTACACAGCAAGACGTGTCATAAAAACAAAACAAAACAAAAAAGGACAGAAACAGCTCTGCGAAGCCAGGAGTAGACTCTTCTGAAATGCAGGCTAGGACAGGTCAGCATCCTGGGAGACAAACAGGTCACGAAGTGTCTGGGTTACACAACCTTCCATCTGAGTCGCACTCACACTGGTAAGGATTGGCTTCTGTTGTCACTCTTAGCTCAGAGGGCAGGCAGTGGAGCAGAAGCCAATCAGTGTTGAGGGGCGGGCCGTATGAACTGTCCAATCAGGTGGCAAGGAAGGCGGGCTCTGTTTCCTGACATCAATGCTCAGATCCAGATCACAGCGCTGAGAGCCGCCCCAGCTGGCTAGGCCGTCCTGCTTTAGGATTTCTTCTGGCTGCAGGCTGCGGGAAGCACCTGGGGAGACCCTCCAGCGACAATGGTGAGGTTGTGGGACGGGTGCCCTGACTCAGGACGGGACGGGAAGGGGTGAGCCCTGGGTGTAAGCGGTGGGAACAGCAATGGCGCCGGCGCCTCTTCGCTGCTGCTCGGATCAGAGCTCCTCCTGGTCTCCGCGCCTTGGACAATGTTCCTCCCGCCAGGCCTCAGGCAGGTCTACACTGTGTGCCCAGCACCCTGTCTGTCCACAGCCTGGAGTGCAGTGTTGGGCAGCCGCAGCTGCGTCTCCACCTGTGCGCAGAGAGGGAATTGTGGGAAGATCTTGCTTCCGGTGGGGAGTCAAGCTGGGGGAGCTGTGGTGTTTGGGATACCTGGTCTCATTCGTCCCTCCAGCTGACCTGGTGGACTTGAATTTAATAAATATCTGTGATAAAAGATCTGAAAGCCACAACTGAGCTCCTCAGGCCAACGCTGCTCTGTGATGAGAGTAAATTGTCAAAATTCCAGTATGTGCGCACATTACCACACTCAGGATAAGTGATGAGTAATGCCATGAAAATTGAAAGAAAGGATCAGCAGGCTTGGTGGTTCACGCTTGTAGCCCCAGCATTCAGGAGGCTGAGGCAGCAAGTTCTCTGCGAGTTTGAGTGTACCCTGGGCTACCAAGTGAGAGCATGTCCAGCCTGAACTACATAGACTTTCAGTAAATAAATAAGACAAAAGAAACAAAATCCAAAAATACAGAAGAAAAAAAATTGCTGGCTATGTGAGTCAGTGGTAGAGTGCTTGCTAAGCATGCAATGAACTCCTGTGTTACATACGCAGCAATACAAAAACAATTATCATCTTAATGATTGACGTGGAGCTTCTACAAAGAGAGAGACTATGTATGTGAGGCCTTCCCATAGTGTTTAGAATACTGAGAGAAATAAAGGGAATGTTAATGTGTTAGCAAGGGCAGGAGAAAGATCCAGAAGGAACTGCTAGTTAAATATTCAGTGTGAGAGCCATTAAACTCCAGCATCTACACGCACGTTTGATTTGGTAGGATTAAAAAGCAAAGGGGCAGCACCTCAGATAATTGCTGTAGACCTTGAACTGTAGACACTGTCTAAAGAATTGAAATGCTGATTGAGGTGGACTTTATATCAAAGGAACATTCTAGTAGGAGTAAAGCCTGAAATGTGAACTCTGCAGCCATATGAGTGGTTAGTGATAAAGGAATTTTCTGTGCAGGGAGGAGGCAATAGGAAAAAGTGGAAGAGAATGGGAAGAGGATGGTAAAATCCACATCTACAACAGAGGGGCACTTCCCTTGAGGTCAAATATTTTTCTACTATGACGGTAAAGGAGTTGTATGCTAGCTCAATCTGAGAGTGGTCAAACATCACAGGCATTAAGAAAGGAGAAGACTTAGTAAAATTTAAATAAATTTGTCTTCTGTTGCTATTAATCAGGTAAATGAATAAATTTCTTTGTTTTTTGAGAAAGAGTTCTGCTACCTATTTCAAACTGGCCTTCAACTTGCTATTTAGCCTAGGTTTTCCTCCAACTTGTGGCTATTCTTTTGACTCAGCCTCCTGAGTACTGAGACTAGTGGTGTCTGCCAGCATACTTGTCCCTAATTGTTTTTCAGGAAGAAACAGAAATTAGGAAACTGCCCACCTTGTCTGTCTTAAAAATTGGTGGCTATCATCTAAGTGTGCTGGAAAGGGATTTCTCCAGGAAACAACGAATTTTAGGTGTGGTTGTTGTTTTTATTGTACAGATGATTGAACCTGGGACTTTTTGTCTGGAATACATTCTCCACCTTTTAATATTTTTAATATTTTGAGACCAGATCTCACTGTGTTGCCCAGGCTGCAGTAAATGATCTTTTTTTATCTTGTTTCAGCATCTTGGAGTGCTGCAATGACAGGCATGTGCCACATGCCTGGCTAAGATGGGAGTTTTCTACCACCACTATTATCCAGGGTCACTGTGTTTGGTTAATGAAACTTCAGTGGGGCATGGTGCTGCCCACCCTTCATCTCAGCCACTTGGGGCTTTGAGGCAGGATTATTGCAATAGCAAGTCCAGGCTGGACAATGGAGCAAGACCTAGATCAACATAAAGTAAAAATCAGTGGGTAGTGTCTCCAATCTAAAGTAACTTGTGTAACATGTGCAAGGCCCTGAATTCAGTCCAGTACTGAACCATAAAGGAAAAAGTGATAAGTATTCAGTGGAAAATTTACTTTGATTTGGAATTTTATGCTGTGGTCTGTGCTATAATACTTGCTCCAGATGCTAGGCAGCAGCAGTGAGTCCCTGCTCACCAAGGAAACAAATTTCGTGATTTACAATGCAGCACATCCAATAAATTACATGGGATATTTAGTATTTTATCATGAAATAAGCTGTGTGTCACATACATTTTCTCAGATACAGGTTAATGTATGTGTGTATCAGTTTTAAAGGAGCCAGGGCTTAGCAGTGTTTGCTAGATTATATATAGTCAGTGCATTTTCAATACATTACATTTTGAACTGCCTATGGGTTGATCAAGATATTTTGTAACTCAAGCAAAATGTGTAGATTCATTCTCTGTAGAATATGAAATTTATCAGATAACATCCTGTGTTGAGTTCTGTATTAATCAAGTTCTTTCAGGGAACTGAACTGGGATACATTACAAATAGTGTTTTGATTAAAAAAAAAAAGCAGTGCTGTGCTTTTTGTTTTCTGGTTTTTGATTGGTTTGGTTTGGTTTGATTTATATGTTAATTTGCTTTTTTTATTACTATAGAGAGGTAGAGCACTCCGGTCATACTTGTTTCATGAGGAAAGGGGATAGAAATTGTCAGTGGTCAGACACAGAGCCGATCATTTTGACCTCCACACCAAGCATGGACAATACTGAATTGAGAACACTTCCATTCCTGGTTCAATTTTGTGCTGATTATGGGAACCATTCTTTCTGCCTCAGTCCTTTAGAAAGTATTTGGCTTTCTACTCTACCCTTTTCTGTTTTCCCTCTGCTTCTTCCTTGCCATAATGGCCTGAACTCATATCTGCCTAGAATTGTCACCTTCAGACTTGGGCTCTTTTTGCTTTGCAGTGATTTATATCACTGTAGGGAAAGAGATGACTATGAGCATTTCTTCTGTGTTTCATATGTGGCTGAGGTCTGCAGTCCTTGAACCCCCCCACCTGAGTGCTGAATTCCCCACAGTCTTTGGACAACTCTCTTATGTTGGTATCCTGCAGAAGTCCATGGGAATATCCTCTGGAGAAAGGCACAACTGAGATAAAGCAGAGCTTCAGTTCACTCACCCCTTAGTCTGGCGTCTACACCCCCAGTTTGTGTTGTCATAGCACAAGCTGTAGGGCCAGGGATTTAGCTCAGTGGTTCCGCTGCCTGCACTGCAAGCCCAAGGTCCCGAGTTCGATCCCTGGAACCAAAAAAAAAAAAAAAAGGCTGTAGTGACCTTTGTGGGTTTTAGCGCCAGTAGAACCTGAAAGGCAGTGAGGGGGTAGAAAAGTGAAAAAGCACCTGTCATGGTGGCGCATGCCTGTAATCCCAGCACAGGGGAGACTGAGTCCAAAAGATTGTTGTGAGTTCAAGGCCAGCCTGGCTACTTTTTTTGCTTTCTTGCTGCCCTAGAAACAGAGTAGAGGAAATGTCATTGATGCGCAGGAGCACACTTGCTAGTGCACAAAGTGTGTAGCAATTTAAAGTCTAATACACACCATCCACACTACCACCACCAGGGGGCAATAATTCCTATTTGTCTTCCTGACAAACTCCAGATGTTTTCAAATGTAATTAATTTTACTGATTTGAATTGATATTCCTTTCCATTTTTCTTGTCTTTTATTCCCTTTTTTCCTTTTCCTAAGTAAGCTCTTCTGTAATCTATTTGCTTATGAGTTCATACTTGTGTTGGATAGGGCCAGGAATTTAGCTCAGTGGTTCTATCGCCTGCCTCACAAGCTCAAGGACCCCAAAAAAAAAACAAAAAACAAAAAAACCCCTCATATTTGTGTTGGATAATTTTTAAATTATTTTATCTTCTAGTGACATCACTTGTAGAGAATGAAAATACTTTGAATAATTTTTAATCTGCATGTTAATTTTATCAAGATATTCTTTCTTTTTTTTTTTTTTTTTGGTACTGGGGATCGAACTCGGGACCTTGCACTTGTGAGGCAGGCGGTGGAACCACTAAGCTAAATCCCTGGCCCTTATCAAGAATATTCTTTACTGAACAGAAATCATGATACTCTTTTTTTGTCTTTTTATGGTCACCTTAACATTTGTGCCTTTACAAACTTATATCTGAATATCTTTCCAGTCCTACCACATGAATAAGTGATTTTCTGATAACTTCTTCTGTGTTTTACAGTTTCTAAAAATAATTCACATCTTTGCCTTATATCTGCATGGAGTACCCCTTTGAATGTTTGTAATGAAAAAAATTAGGTTTACTTGGCCCACAAAATATACAATTTACCACCGTAAATGTATGATCAATCACTTGTTCCTCTTGATTTGTGCTCCCAACTATATCTAATCTCACTTTAGAATAAAGCAAAAGTATTTAATATCTCTTACAAATTTAGTGTGTCTAAATGTTATCTCATATTCAGACTTAAATGAATATAACTCTACAGTATGTACTAAAAAATGGGAAGGGAAATTTCTCTACTTTTTTGAGATTTGAAAAATAGAGTGCTGTCCTTTGTTTTTCTGAAGGGATTGTGGAAGATTTTTGTCACATTCATAGTTGCAGTGGTATTATAGTTCAGTGGTATTATAAATATACTTGTATTAGTAATATAATTTGAACATTTTTTAGCGTATCACATGATCAAAGCTAAGTCTACATTATTTTCTGTATATTCAGATCATCATCTCCAATTTATTCTTCCTTTGGTTTTTTGAGACAGGGATTTCCTGTGTAGTTCAAGTGACCTGGAACTCGTTATGTAGCCCAGGCTTGGCAAGAACTTGTTTTTCTTCTGCCTCAACCCACCCAACTGCTAAAATTAAGTTCTTGTG